TGTGTAAGGACCAGACGTCGGAATAGTCTGCGTCGATGAGCTGTGACAATGAGGCCTTGTAGGGAACAAACCTAGTGATGTAGTGTATCGAAGAGATCTGTAAGATCGATGAGATGTATGTCAAATGATATAACTAGGAAAACACAAAATACATTCGACAAGACATTGCTGAGAAAAGACTACGTCTATATACTAAAAAGAGAGCGGAGTGATACCGATAAGAGCATGCGTAGTTTGGAATGAAGTCGAGGTAGAATAGGAGAGGAAGAGCGATGATAGTTACCGAGACGGAGATGTGAAAAAGGGTAGAGGTGTCGAATGAGTGGAACCAGGCGTAGTAGCAAACGGAGTAAGCCCGGACGCGGGAATGGAGACGGGGATGGGAATGGAAAAGAGTACGACTACAAGGTAAGGTACCCGTGGTACCGCGTGATCCTGACATTACTCCCCTCCTTCGGTAGACGTCGTCTCGACGTCATCGTGATGGTTGTTAAGAGAATTTGATGGTTGTCAGGAATTCCACGTGGTCATGACGTGTCATTACTTATCAAATAATGTTCCCCTCGTCGTGTAGTTCGATTCCTTCTCTTCTCGTCTCTTCTCTTTACCTCTTTACTCATTTCTTTTCTGACCTTCTCCATTCTAACAACACTTTTACTAACAATGGTTACTCGTAAACAACTTGCGTCCTTGAAAAAGGCCACCGAAGCGTCTGTGAGTACGAGTACCATGATCCGTGCGAAAGAAACGAAAAAAATCCTCGATTTTGTGGTGGAGGACTGGCTGACGAGATAGGCTAACAAGCGTCGCCGTTCTGGATCTCAAGGTCGCCGTTCCGGATCTCAAGTCCCTCCTGTTCGTTCTCCTCCACCTGTTGCCGTCGCCGGTCCCTCCAAGCAACGTGTTGGTCAAGGTCGTAAAGAAACCCCCAATCCACGTCATTTAACTCCTTTTCCTCATGATCCTGATCCTCCTGCCGATCTTCCGATTCCTTCTACCGATGCTCCGTTTCCTTCTACACCTCTCCGGGAAGTTTCTACCGCCGTCGAGTATCAAACTCCCCGAAATAAACAAATTAAAGGTGGTGTTGAGGCTTCCGGACCTCCCTATCGTGAAGGACCCCTCATCGTTGTTCCCAAACCGGGTGGTCGACAGAACTCGTACCACGATATTGTTCTTCAAGCTATGGACGTGTCTTCCAACAAAGTCCAAGTACGTCTCCTACCACACGTTGTTTGTTTTGAATATTGACTAGTAGAATTTTATCCATTACCTTCGTTTATGGAAGTCGACGAAGGCTGAATCCACAAGGGCCAAGGTCGATCTCGTACTTTCTGTTCTTGGTACTGAGCAGACTATCGTAGGGTACGCGTCTGAACCTTGTAATTGTTGTGAAGACATGCTTTCCAAACCTTCCCGCTGGCAGGATTTCACTAAGAAGTGGCCGTGTTTGGTACCCGTTATCCGCTTTTCGGGTTCCGAGCAGTATCATATTTGTGGACAGTGAGTTCTAAATAGTTTCGTACCAGGTGTAGTTCGTTAATTTCTAGTTGTTACTGGTGCCTGGTCGACCGTGGTACATGCTCCTTCGCTGTTGATTCCCGTATAGGTCCCCGTGACCAATTAAAATTTTCAATGACCCAATGGAAGGCTATGTACACGACACTCGATAAAGCCATGGCGAATGCCATCCTCTTGTCTCACCGTTATGGTGTAAGGATCGACGAAGAAGATGCAGTTCAGGTTGCTGTCAAACAGCAAGTTAATGATGTTTATTCCAGTGTACTTGATCTTTGTGTAGTGCGTGTTTGTTTCCTACCACACGTAGTTCCTAACCTTCAGAAGCTAAACGAATGTAAAATATCTGGTCCCGATTTCCGTGTACCCATTCCCCATCGTTTCGGACACGTAGTTGGTATCCAAGTCCCCGATTACTGTAATGTTCGGTGGGCATACTCTGCTTTGCCGGACAAGAAACGAAGACCGGTCCCCATCGCCAAAACTGGTTCGTCTAAGAAGAAGTATAAGAAGTCGAAAGGAAAACAGAAGGCTGTAGACGATTTCGAGTCTGATTCTGAACCAAGTGAACCGTCGATTGAGGAAAGTGACGAGGATGAGAGTAAATCCTCTCATACCACCACCGAAACGGAAGAAGTGGAGGGTGAATTCGGTGACGCCGGTGAGGAAGTTGAGACATAATTTTTTGTATCAATTATCGTGTCCTTTGTTGTGTGGTACGGGTGGAATGAAGCCTACTACCTGTAGATAGTATCAAATTTGTTCATAGAAGAGTATCATCATGCAATCTTTTCTCGTCATGTCGAAGTATTATTGAAATTTGTTATTTGCTGAGCCCCTAAAGGGTCTCAGCAAAACGCAACTTAGCAGTTGGTTTTCTGTGTCGTTTTGTATGAAGTACATTGGTACCCAACGACGTGTTGTTGGAATCCATCCTCGAATTGTTGGAATTCTTTAAGAATTCTATAACTTTTGGGTTGGTTTTGATGGTTTCCAACGGTTGCCAAGTGGCTTCCCCTTCAGGGAATCCAGTCCAGACAATCTTAAGTTGTTCTTCGGCCTTGTTACGACCAGGAAGTCTGATTTTCCTTTTCCCTATCACCTTTTCAACCTCGTAGAGGTCTTCCTCCTCTTCTACCACGTCTTGTTTGGAAGTTACCAAGGCTGGTTCTAATTCGATCACTTGTCCTTTAGATTTAGCAAGTAGTTTTACGTTGAATACTGGGTGTATCTTATTTGCTAACATCTCTTTTGGTAAATCTAGCTTGTAGGCATTATCATTGATTTTCTGGATAATCTTGTATGGTCCCACGAAGCGGTGATCCAATTTTCTTGTGGGTCTTAATGATTTTAAGTTCCTTGAGTCCAACCAAACCTTGTCACCAACTTCGAAAACAATATTTCTATGTTTCTTGTCGTATTGGCGTTTATAATTTTCTTGAGCATGTTGTAGGTTTTCTTTTAGACGTTGTTGGAGTTTACCTAGGGCTGTAACTCTTGCGGTGGCGCGTGGAGAAGGAAATGGTGTAGCCTTGTCGTAAATAGGCTGCATCATGTTGGTTCTATAGTCCCGCCCTGAGTACGCTTTTAAGGGGGACATCTGAATGGAGCTATGCCAGTTGGTATTGTAGCATAGCTCAGCAAAGTGTAAAAGGGAGCTCCAATTATCTTGCTCCGTATTGACATAGATTCTAAGGTATTGTTCAAGCCATTGGTTTACTCTCTCCGTCTGTCCATCGGTTTGTGGGTGGTACGCTGTTGAGTACTTCAAGTCCGTTCCCAACAACGTGTTGAAGGTTTTCCAAAACCTAGAGACGAATAAAGATCCTCTGTCAGACACAATTGAGTCTGGTACACCAAATCTTGTGTACACTTTCTTGAGGAATAATTCCGCAAAATCTTCTGCAGTTATAGTGGTAACGGTGGGAATAAAGACAGCCACTTTCGTCAACCTATCGACAACTACCAAGATTGAGTTAAAATTGTTTGATTTGGGTAGGGGTCCAATAAAGTCACAAGTAATATCAGCCCATGGTTTTCCGGGTACTTCTAGGGGTTGTAGGAAACCAGCAGGGGCTTGACGTCTTGCTTTGGTGCGTTGACAGATTTCGCACTCTTCACAATACTTTCTAATATCTTCTTTCATCCCAGTCCAAAACCACAACTCGCTAATTTTTCTTAATGTTACTCTCCAACCAGGGTGTCCAGCATCCTTTCCACCATGTTCATGTTGGATAATTCGACGCCGTTCCTCCTGGGTTTTCACGAAATGTTTGTCCCCTTGTAGTTTGATCATGGAGAGAAGTAGTTGTTCGCTGGTAAGCAGTGGATGGTTATTATGATCATTGAGTTCTGAAGATAATGAGGTCTGTTTAACATCCAACGGCCTGTAGTCGACTCTGCGGGACAGCGCGTCCGGTTTCGTCGACTGCTTGCCGGGTCTGTATTGGATAATAAAGTTAAACTCCGACAAGAATTCGTACCAACGAGCTTGCCTTCTCGTGAGTTGCTTCGTGGTAAGGAAAACTTGTAAACTTTGGTGGTCCGTAAGGACTACTACCGGTACTTCGGTTCCTTCTAGGTACTGGCGCCATTCCTTAAAGGCATATACTATTGCGAGCAGCTCCTTTTCGGCCACCGGATAGTTAAGTTCCGCCGGTGCCATGCTTCGTGAAGCAAAAGCAACTGGACGTAGTACGTTGTCTTCATGCTGTGAAAGGATTGCACCAAGGGCATAATCCGAAGCGTCGGTTTCCACAATGCACGGTAATTTTGGATCAAAATGCCGTAATATTGGTCCTGATCCAACTTTAATTTTAAGTTCTTCGAAAGCTTTGTCACATTTCTCGTCCCATGAGAATGATATCCCCTTCCTGGTAAGTTCATGTAGGGGTTTAGCTATATGTGCAAACCCTGCAATGAACCTTCGATAAAAATTAACAAACCCTAGAAAGGATTGAACTTCCTTGACCGTTTTCGGTTTAGGCCATTCTTTTATTGACTTTTCCTTCTTCGGATCCATTTCTATCCCTCCAGGTCGAATGACATATCCTAGGAACTCGACCATTTGAACATGAAAATCACATTTATCATGTTTGGCGAACAGCTTGTGTTGACGAAGTCTTTCTAACACTTGTCGGACATCTTTAACGTGTTGTTGGATATCTGGGGAATAAACAAGGATGTCATCTAGATATATAATGACGTTCTTGTCCAGCATATCCCTAAAGATGTGGTTCATGAGGTGTTGGAAGGACGCAGGAGCATTCGTGAGTCCAAAAGGCATTACCCTATATTCGAAAAGACCGTATCTTGTACGAAAAGCCGTTTTCCATTCATCCCCTTTTGCTATGCGTAGTAGGTTGTAAGCACCACGTAGATCAATTTTGGAATAAATGTTGGCGGATTTAAGTTGGTCCAATAGGTCTCCGATAAGGGGTAGAGGGTAACGATTCTTGACTGTAATTTCATTCAGTCTGCGATAGTCCACACAGAGCCGTAGAGATCCATCTTTCTTTTTAACAAACAAGATTGGAGCTCCAGCAGGACTTTCTGATGGAGTGATGAAGCCCTTATTCAGGTTTTCTTCGAGATAATTTTTGAGAGCTTCTTGTTCAATATGGGAGAGGGAATATATGGGTCCAAAAGTAGGTGTTTTCCCCTCAACCAGGGGTATACGGTGATCAAAAGGACGATGTTCAGGCAGTTTATTTGCTCCTCCTTTAGAGAAAACATCTAGATAGTCCCAATATTCTTTTGGTACGATTTGCTTTGGTTCTGTTTCGTCTTCTGGTACAGTCCGTGCGTAAACAGCACCCCTAATATCGGTAGGTTCTACCTCTTGATCGAAAGCTTCTGGGCTAATAATATTTAGGAATTGAAACCTGTTGTTGGTTTCCAACGAGCGTGGAATCAAAGTCTGTGTTGACCAGTCGATAATTGGGTTGATCTTGTTCAAAAATGTGAGCCCAAGGACGATAGGGGCAGGGTGGATTTTTGTGACTGTGAAGGTTGATTCGTACACCTCAAAACCTTCACCCAACAGTATTCGAAGACGTATTTCTTTGGTCAGAAGGCGTGTAGCGCCATCTGGTAAACGGAGTCGTTCGATTTGGGTCTTTGTGGTAGGTTTAAGATGAGAACGTTCAATAAATCCTTCGTCTACGAAGTCCACTGTTGCTCCACTATCTACCATGGCTCGGGAATGTACATTTGGTTGACCGATAACAATAACAGGAATTGTGATAAGCGAGTGCTTGTTGTTTGAAACGGAAATGGGCGTGGTTGGAATACTACTAAGTGTAGTTGGAATCATTGATTCCTTGACCATGGACGAGAAGTGGACATGGTTCGTTTCCTCTGTCTCCTCCTCCAAGGTTTCCCTTTCCAACAACGTGTCTTCCCTCCTAGGGTACCCATTATCTACAGTAAGGGTGTTCAGCTTGATTTTATTTGATCCTGTTACTGGTGGTTTCTTCTTTGCTTCTGGGCACGCACTAGCCATGTGGCCAGCGTTGCCACAGTATAAACATAACCCGTTGTCTCGTCTGTATTTCTTCTCGTCGTAGGTGAGACTCTTCCTACTAAAATTGGATTTGGACTTGTTGTAGTCCGTTTTCTTGACATTCTGGTTGTTGGAATCGCGCTGACCATATGTAGGTTTTGGAGAAGACGTAGTAGGATTTCCCTTAGGTGTATTAGACCTCTGTCTATCCCCTTCTTTATTACGGTTGCCCTGTCCACCAGAATTATTGTTCCATTGATAAGAAGTTTTGACACCTTCTAGATGAACATACAGACTAATTGCAGCGTCTGCAAGGTCTTTAAGAGTTTGAGGTTGGTGTTCCCGATTTGCGAGAGCTACTCGAATTTCTGTTGACAGTCCAGATTCGAAAGCATCCTTGAGTGCTCGGTCGTCCCAATCGACATCAGCCGAAATTGAGAGGAACGACGAGTAATAGTCCGATACCGACTTGTCTTGACGAAGACGTTTTAGACGTTGTACCGCGTAGCGGTGTCTATCAGGATCTCCAAACATCCTTTTCACCTGTTCCAAGAAAAGGCTCAAGTTGAAAGCCCACTCTGGCTGGTCCTTTTCCGACTTGACGTAGTACGCTTGCCACCACCTTCCTGCTTTCCCCCTCAAATAACTAGCCGCCCACAAAACTCTAAATCTATCGTTCATGCCTCCCCCTCTAAGATCCAGATAAAGCCTTACTTCAGCCACATAAGCATCTACCTTGTCCCCGTTCCCGTGAAACGTGTCGGGGGTTTTGATATCCATCTTCCTTATGTCTGAACCCAACAGGTCGTAGTTGGAATTCATATGTTCACCTTGCCTTCCGTAAGTCCCCTGTCTGAATCGTTCAGGATGAGTTTGAGAGAATGGAGTACTAGTAAATGGGGTTCTGAGGTGTGATTGGCCCCGATGCGCGTTTGTCGGAATTGGAATTGGTTGAGTATGAATTGGACGTTGCTGATTGACAGCTGGCAACGTGTCATTCAAATCCAACGACGTGTGGTTGGAATTTGGTGAAGAGTGATTGGAATGCGGATTGGGTTCGTTTGTACCCACTACCGCCACGTTGGGAGAGAACCCGTGCACTGTAGGTTCTTGTCCCAGGTTCTCGAGAGTCCCTTGTCCTTCTACAGGACGATTCCCCACTTGCGGCCCTGTTCGAAGAGCGGCAAGTTCTGCTTGAAGCTGAATAATAACTTGATTTTGTTCTTGGTGATGCTGACGCATCTCTTGGAGTTCAGCTTGGAAAGTGCGACGATCATGTCGAAAATCGCGAAGATTTGCGACAGATGTGCGATCAAAGGTGGGTGAATCGGGAAGGGACATTGTTAACAACCGATAACGTGTTGTTGGTAATCACCTAGGTCTTGTTCGGTACAAGTAAGGTCGAATGTATTTTATGTAAGGACCAGACGTCGGAATAGTCTGCGTCGATGAGCTGTGACAATGAGGCCTTGTAGGGAACAAACCTAGTGATGTAGTGTATCGAAGAGATCTGTAAGATCGATGAGATGTATGTCAAATGATATAACTAGGAAAACACAAAATACATTCGACAAGACATTGCTGAGAAAAGACTACGTCTATATACTAAAAAGAGAGCGGAGTGATACCGATAAGAGCATGCGTAGTTTGGAATGAAGTCGAGGTAGAATAGGAGAGGAAGAGCGATGATAGTTACCGAGACGGAGATGTGAAAAAGGGTAGAGGTGTCGAATGAGTGGAACCAGGCGTAGTAGCAAACGGAGTAAGCCCGGACGCGGGAATGGAGACGGGGATGGGAATGGAAAAGAGTACGACTACAAGGTAAGGTACCCGTGGTACCGCGTGATCCTGACAATATGACTCTGCATTTACCAGACACTGGATTGGAAAACTTGGTGAAAGTGTAAGTGTCCCCATGATCACACATCTGGCTGTTCGTACCCCCAACGTACGTACTGTTTCATCGTATGGACAAGTTGCTGATCCGTCAGTGGACTTGGCGCGAGAGATCCGATAACCGGGAATCCTTACGGGGCTACTGGATCATCTTCACGGACCCCATCCCCCGCTTCGTCGATTGCATTGACACGGTCGAACAGCTCTCGGAATTCCCAGGTACCGGGGTTCCCTACGAGCAGTGTACGGCAACCTCGCTCCTCCAGGGACGAGCGCCAACAGAATAGGGGACGTTCAAAGAAAATTGTACCGCCCGAGGAGATCACGAACACAGACCCAACTTCCAGTGGGCCTGTCGCTTATTCTGACGGCGCAAGACATGAACCAGCTCCTGCGCATACCGAGTCTGACACCTGAGAGCCCGCCGTCGAGCCTCTCATGAAGACTATCCGGGAGGGTCACTTGGTGAGAAGCATGGAATGGTGACAGATGCATGGAATGAGAACCGTTGCCCAATTGAAGACAGCGCGTCTCGACTATGCAAAAGACCCAGACCCTTTGACATACTGATGACATCATCGTCGATAGGAAGACGAATCTAACTCATGTTCCTACCCATAGCTTCGTCTTCTATCATCAGACAAGTCAGCGGTAAGATGGTCTTGCGATCCGAAATGCAGAAAGAAGGTCAAATGCTATGCACATGGATTGACTAAGTCATGATACCGTATGACACTAACTCATTATTCGTTGAATTTCTTCTTTCCTTCCGTCTCTCTAATACGCCTACACCTCTTCCCCTTCTCTCCAACGCATACCCAATTTGACCAACATACGAAAGAAGTCCTTATCCCTGCACGTATCACACACTCGATCATGATCCGTACCACAGAGCTCTCCCCTCTCTCCAGTTGCACGAGTTGTTCGTTGCCATATTGATCCATCGTCTTTCTTCATCCTCGATTACCACGATCCCTCGGCTCCGTCACCTGACCTCAAGCCATTCTCAGCTCGCCCCTACCCTAAATGAGCATGGACATCCCCTTGATCGTCTTGTAGCAAACAGAATCGGGATGAAGATGTGATTGTCGAGCGAGGATACAAAGTGGTGAGAACCGAGGCAGTCGTTATTGGACAAGTGATTTGAGTAGAGGGAATAGGAAAGAAGGACAAAGAGGTGAGCGGCGCAGAGTGCAGAGCAGAGAAGTTAGAGGCAGTCCGGGCATTTCAGAGGGAAAGGGAGGTGTCAGAGAGAGGGAAGCCGAAGGTAAAAGAGGGGAGATTGGGGGGAGCGAGTTGACAAGAAGGACAAGAGAGAAGGCAAAGACTACAGCTCAGACGGCAGCCCAAACCCTCACTACCCCATCCGCACCGGCGCTAGCCAACACCGGTAATTCCGGATGTCCCGCCATCCCACAAACTCCCTCGTCGGATCTTTGTCGATGTCCAATAAGATCTTGTAAAGAAGTTTTCTTCGCTATATCCCACACCCGCATAGTGCAATCTGTGCTGGATGTGATGAGTGACATTGGGGAAAGAGGAGAGAGGATGATTGATGTTAAGGGTGAAGGGTGAGCAAGGATGTTATGTGTCATATTGCCTGAACGTTAGACGTTGCCTTCGATCTACCTTTATACGTCGTATGTAAGAATCCGATGGAAACGGATGTTGAGATCACGGTATAAAAGAAACAGGTTCGATGGAGAGTTTAAGACGTACCACTTTGAGTGTCGTAGAATCTCAAACGACCATCTTCACTGGCGGTCACAACTAGAGGTAAGGTAGGATGAGATAATATGCCGTTAATTTGTCCATCTGCTTTATCAGTGCCTAACTCACATGGACTGGTATCCAGAACCAAAAAATTCACACGTCTCTGAGAAAGGCCAGAAATTTTATGATACTAAGACAAGCAATCCAAATGTCGAATGAATAGTCTGACTCACTCAGGGTCTCCTCGCCAAACGTCCTTTCACATCTGGCAGGCGAAGAATCAATATCCCACACTTGAGCCTCGCCCGTATCCAAACCAATCAACAACTTCCCGAATTGTTCATTCAACATTTCCACCGTTGTCGGTACCTTCCCCCAAGTTTTGAGACTATCCACAGGTACCCAGAGTTCCTTTCCATCTGATTCCTGTAACTCCCAAATCTTCACTGACCCATCCGCACTTGCACTGGCAAGTCTGACATCTCCCCTATTCTTCCCTTTGATATCCGCACATGGTAAAAGACACAAGTCCCAAACTGCTTCTCCATGACTCTCCAATGTCTGCACCGACATATTCGGGTCGTAAGGAGCATAAGGATCATGATTTCCAGGAGGCAATCTCCACACTCGTATGGTAGAATCCATACTTCCAGAGAACACCAGACCAGTAGGTTTTGACATGCTAGATATCAAGACGGATGTGATGGGTGCGGTATGACCACGGAATGTTACAATTGGTTCTAATTCAGATGGAGGTCGATGACCTGTCATGATGCTGGTAGTCTCTATAGACCATATTTTGACGGTGCAGTCGTCTCCTCCAGACGCGAGGACGATGTGGGGACCATGAGCGAAGGATACTGAACGAACTATGTCTAAGTGGGATTTAAGTGTCCGGCGACCATGAAAGGATTTATCGAGTCCTTCAGATAGCATTATATCTTCATCGGTGGAAGTGAATGAGATGGAAGAAAGTTGATCATCGTCAAGGGGCGTAGGTTTGACACGACTTATCTGAGCCTGTATGAGTCAGCGCGGCGACATGGGATTATCCTGCAACCACCTTAGTTTTCCAATGGGAGATCAAGAATCTCCACGCCATTGACCGAGTGGATAGAGTAGTCAGGTACATGGGGGATTGAAGGGGGTGACATACAGAGGCCAAACTAACTTTCTCGGCCTGCTCGTTGGCCGCCCGCAGCTCTTCCCGCCATGCCGCTTTTGAGTCTGGCCTATATATCGCTGTCAAAAGATGAGTCCCTTCCTCCGTTTGATCAGGATCTGGTAAACTCATAGTCTGTACAGCAGGTGAGGAAGGAGGATTTCTCTCATCCACCCCACCGAGAGGAATATCGTGCATAGCCTCTTCTTCCTTGGTATCTTCCCTCAAATTGGCCGCCAAAGGAGATGGAGGACGTTCCTGCTTGACGTTGACTTCCCGAGGTCCTCCATTAGAGATGCCGTTCGGCACAAGAGGAACGTCTTTGGTGTCTTCTTTGACCAGGGAGAGTAGTGACGGTGGGGGATTTTCCGGGAGAAGTTTTTGGGGACGGTCGGGTGGTGATATGAGAACTGAGGGAGGTTTGCGGTCGTCACCGCTTGGGCCTGATTGATCTTCAGGAGCGAGCGAGTCGAAAGAGATCGGGGGTCGGGGTGACAGGGGATTTAATGCACCTGGCGAGGTGAGATATGTGATTTCTTGAAGACATCTACACATGAGTCAATACAAAATCGTCCACTTTCATTATTGAGGGGTAGAGGTATCACACTGACTGTTTAAGGTACTCTCTACTCCTGGCTCGAGATTTCGGATCTCTCGATGCTGTTCCGACATTCTTCCAAGGATTTCCATCTGCATTTTGTCGCAGTGCCACAGTAGCCGCTCGACTCATCGGCATGGCCAATGATGGTGTGCCATTCACACCTGATCCACTTGTACCATTTATTTTTGGTCGGTCTAAATTATCAGCTTCGACAGCATATTGAATTTACATAAGACTTACCACCTTCATCACTTCCCTCGCTTGCGTTGCTCTCTTTCTCATCCCGACTTTTACCATCCTCATCCTGGAGCGCCGCTAGTCGGCTGGGAGGCAACGCTGAGCGTCCAAAAGTCCCGCCACTCATTCTGGAAGCCGCTCTAAGGCTCAGTGATTTTCTCGCATAAGATGTGTTCGAGCAGCTGACCTTTCTGTACGAAGAGCATGTTCCAACAACTTGACCCGTTTGAGGAGATCCACTTTGAGGTTCTCTGCGGACTTTCGTTGTCCTTCCAGCTGAGCTATTCGAGCCTGTCAATGAGCGAGGCACGGGATAGGCGATATTGAGTGAATAGGATACGAGGGAATTAGGATGAAGAAGAATAGAATGACTAACTCTCATGACAGCTCTTTCGATCTCCCATTCATTCCTATCCCTTTCCCATCTTCTCCACTCGCTTTGTAGATAGTGCAACACTCCCGCCAAATTCATCTCTTTCTCTGGACCACTGTTAGACAGACTCTGAGCGTCCGTGCCTCCATTAGTTGACTGAGCTTGCTGCTGTTGCAGTTGTTGTTGTTGCTGTTGCTGCTGATGCTGTTGTAATAGCTGTTGGTGTTGTTGTTGCTGGGTATAAAGCATGCCTACCGGCTGCTGTGATTGACCCATTGAGGCGGTTGGACGGAACATGGCAGTCATGCGACATCCACAGCTTTAGTGCAGGTGGCACAATGAGGGATTGACAGAGGCGTGGAGGTTGAGCGATTTCGATGTCTAAGAAACGTGTTATTGGCTACAGATACGAATAGGTCGTGACAAAGTGGGTTCGATGAGAGAGGAAGAGAGTGACTTGTGTGTGTATAGGTGAATTGTGTGTTAATAGGAAAAGTGAGACATGTGGTTAACGTGTTGGACAAAGCATTTCACGTCGTTTCTTTCCTCTCTCCTCATAGCGCGCCCCTACTGGCCATAGGCGGAGATAGCGGCATTAACGCTTATGTCTTGAAAGTGGCGAAATGGTGGCGTGCCTGTAAACCTGGTTGCGTCATGTGGGTGTCTAACCGTTTTCGATTGCTTCCACTTTCCCTTCCCCCAACCCGTACATACTGTACACACACATCTGTCTTGTCCTATCATTCACCCTTCATCCTCTCTCTTCACAACCTGTTCCACTATCCCATAAGTCATGTCCGCCGCTCAGTACTATGATCAGTCACAGCAGCAGGCCTCGTATCAACCTCCCCCACCAAGCACTCACCCATTCTATCAACCTCAACAACAACAAGCACAATCTCACCAGCCTCCCCCTCCCAACGGCTTTCAGTCCGAGAAATACACCTATCAACCACCCAATCAGCCCTATCCACAGCCACAACAGTATGCTCCACCTCCAGGTCCACCTCAGATGTCCCCATCACAGCCTTACGCTCAGCCTGACCCAAACATCGAAGCCCAATCGTATGGTCCACTACCCGACACGGCACCGTTCTCTCAAGCGACGGAAAAGACCGGAACCCGGTTTGCCCCTAAGAAGAGACTCAATGATCCAATATTTCTAATTTTGTTCATCGCCGCCGTCGCTGGCTTTGCGGTGGTCAGTGGCTTGGCCATTAGCAGCTTCATCTCTGTCAATGGGCTAGGCGGGGGATTTGGAAGCGCATCCAGCGGACAGACGGGTAGCTCAGTGACACTCGACTAGTAGGTACTTCATCTAGGCAAAGGTATTGAGCTGACCATCTCAGTCATGCTGCATACTTGCTACTGGTGGTCTGCTGCTTGGGCTTGTTCTTTGCTGTGATCTGGCTCATGGTGCGCTTTTGTCCTTGTCTCGTGTTCAGTAAGCTGATGAGCCAAGATAGTTCGGGCCTTCACAAAAGTCATACTGGAGATAACGCTAGTACTCACCGTGTTGCTGAACATTGGAATTTGTATCTGTAAGCTCACTCCGCATTGTGGTGAGCACACTGACCGGCAGACTACTTCATTCTCCGATGTAAGTGTCATCCTGAGAATAAACATCAGGGACGGGTACTGATGTCAGATTGGTCCGGCGCTATCATTTTCCTGGTCATTGCAATCCTCTCCGTGGTATACTACTGGGCCATGCGTCGACGGTGGGTGGTTTCTGCTGATTCGTTATCCGACTTGACTGATAACGACAGGATTCCATTCGCCAAAATGCTCTTACAGACCACGATCGACATCACCAAACATCATCCCTCGGTGTATGTTGTCGTACTTCTCGGCTTGATCTTGCAAACTGCATGGTCATTCTGGTACGCATTCTCAGTTGTGGCCATATATGTCAAGTGGACACCGGGTAGTGCGGGTTAGTTATCTCTCTTTCTCACCCTCACAACGGCTCAGGCAGTGTGGTTGCTGTAGACATTGGAACACAATTGACAGGCAGCGTGTACAAGCACCTCGTGTTCTTCGTCCAAAGTAGCCGGTCTCATAGTCTATCAAACTTTTGCTTTCTACTGGGTGTCGCAAGTCATCGCTAACGTGGTGCTTTGTACCCTCGCGGGTGGGATATACGGCGGTATGTCACCCACTTCACTTCCTCTTCGATACGCTCCGATCGACATGCTTAGCACTGATATCCTAGGTTGGTACTACTACGGTCCTAGAGCGGGTAACCTCGGCCTTCCCAAGCGCGCCACCCTCAAGGCATTTGTGAGAAGTATCACCTTCTCACTCGGTAGTATCGCCTTTGGATCGCTCATTGTGACTATATTGGAGATGTTAAGATTAGGCTTGCAGGCCCTGCAGCAGTATGAGGCCAGCGAGGGGGATGTGATAGGACAGATTCTTGCGTGCTGCGTGAGTCACTTAGACCATCTCCTTTATCCATCTGCTTTCTGTCTTCGCTTCCAATGTCTTTTGTCGCATCAGTAAGACTCCTCGGGGGTACTTGGCTGAGATACCAGGCGGTATGTTGTGTCAGCATCATTGATGGTCTTGTCCAATGGTTCAACAAATGTAAGTCTTTTGTTTCTTCACATCTCTACAAATATGTACTAACAAACAGATGCCTAGTATGTTAAGTTTATTTGGTAGCCATACCTGCGCTGACATATCCTCCTTTTGTAGCATCGAAATATGTGAGCTCTGCTCCTTTCACGACTGTGGTATGAACTGACGTCCAAGCCCTCTATGGAAAATCATACGTGTGTCTCATTGTTATCATCAGTTTGCACTAGCTGATTGACAGATACCCGCTGCTAAAGATACCTGGCGTTTGTTGCGCGATCGCGGTATGTGTCCTCTTACCACTTGTAATTCTGATGTCTATCATTTCTAGACAAGTTGTATGGTAGCGGGATGGGCTGATGGAAAGGTATCGACGCTATGGTGAATGATTCCCTTGTGGGATCTGTGATCATGTGGGGAGCATATATCAACGGGTTTCTATGTGCTCTTTTCGGGTATATATACTTACGATGTGAGTATCATCCGAGTATCTCACATATCAAATCCGAGTGATTCCCCCATGGTTGCTTAACAGTTTCCAAAACCGATGGTCACATACTGATAACTAATTGCGAACATATGGAAGAATGACTGATGACAGATACCGACCCATCATATAATTCTTCCGGTCAATATTCAGCTCCTATAATATTATACTCTTTTTTGATCGGTATCAACATGGGTTACACGATAGGATCAGCTATAGAAGCTGGTGTTTCTACCATTTTCGTTGGATTAGGAGAAGATCCTATGATATTGGCAGAGAGAAGTCCGGGGTTGTTCGAAATGATCAGAAAGAGTTATCCTAGGGTCGTGCAAGGTGTTCCTAGTTGATCTAACCGTCTTTCTCACAACACGCATCTTCAATCATTCATTCCACTCGCCTCATCTATACACGGAACCCCATCCCCCTTTCGGAATCCCATCCTTCCCGCCTTCTCCTCTTTACTCCGCCAGCCTGTTCACCCAAGACGACGGGAGTGACATACGGCACGATATTCATCTTTCTCTTCTTTTTTCCATCATCGGACTATGTACGATGTTTAATATGATGTAGCTTTACAATAAAGACTTATAATTTTCGTACATCTAAATGCGATGCATAATGCCTCTTTGTACTCAAGTCAAGATTTCAACGTGTTGACTTAAGTCATGATTTGTATAACAACTATTCTCCTGTTTTTCCATGCACACATATCGACCACCAAATCACTGTGCCGAGCAGCAGCGATGAAGAGAGTGGGGGGAGATATGATGGTTGAGAAGGTAACAAGAGCAGGGGGAGAGGAGAGAAAGCGGGGGAAGGGATTATAGCTGGGGACGAGACGAGAGCAGGGGGAGGGAAGGGAATCGTGAGTGAGAAAAGAGAAGGACACATGAAAGTGGAGAGAAGAGTAATGAACGATAAAGCCTAGTGTTATTTCCCTTCAAGAGGAGGCCATAAATATTTCTTATCCCTCCAAATCAAACTACCCTCTTTTAATCTACGCAATACCATTCTTGGCCGATTCATCCCACTCTCAATCCCCTCGGACCAACTCGCATCTTCCCACTTTCTTTCTTCCATAAGTATCCCTAATCGATCTAAGAGTTCTGAAGATTTATCAGGAATGATAGGTTGTAATAATATAGCTGATAGACGAAGAGAATTATATGAGTACATTATTGCTCTTGTTGCTTTTGCTGGAGATGTTGACCAAGGTGATAACGAAGTGAATAGACGGTTTGCCTTTTGGGTCAACTTTTGACATTCTTGTGGGGTGTATTTCTTCCCATCTTCATTCTTCCATGAATCTCCACCTCTCCAGCCTCAGATTCTCTATCACAACACTTACCCCGGGTTTTCAATGAAGATATGAGAAACTTCTGTGTTTCTTGGCACATGTTCGAAAACCCAGGTCCCTATCACAACTACGGAGTGGGGTGGTGTACGAACGTGAGAAACGTGACAGGAGAATATCAATGGTGCAGAGGATGTAGGATACGAAAAAAAACTTACACTAGCGACAACTTCCATAATCCCTTCACAAGCTTTACTCACACCATAAACTTCCATCCTTTCCTCCCACCTTATTTTCATATCCGATAATAATTTATCCATCTCATTATCTCTTTCCCAAATCTCTGTATATCCTGATAATCTCCTTTCGCCTTCTCCCAAATCTGACATACCAATTCCGTCTCTTCCCCCAACTTGATCAATCAGATGGTTTTGATCGACCAGATGGTTCTTAACAAACACCGCTTGCCCTTCTGTCATTCTCACAAACTCCTCAACCTTACCCAATATCTTATCCGAGCACATACGCGATAACAAATTCCCCATTTGATCAGCTAAAAGTTTATATTGTACTTCCACACCTTCGAGAGAAAAGTCAGCGTCGGAAGATAAACTTCCACCCACTCGTAGAAGATACCACCTCAGTCCGTCCGGTGTGAAATGGTCTAATGCGGAGAAAGGATCGACAACGTTTCCGAGAGATTTGGACATTTTCGTATGGTTCATCGTCCAGTGTGCGTGGGCCAGTACGTGGTTTGGGGGAGGAAGGGAGGCGGATATGAGGAGAGCGGGCCAATGAAGGGCGTGAAATCTGGGGTAAGCAGTCTGAAAGATGTTGCCCGAGGTGACTCTCGTTGGAGACAACACAGTGATATATTCCGCCTTGAGACGAGGATTAGGCAATGCGCTGGGGTACATGGGCATTGTCGATACGCTCTCAGAGATCTCAAATGGCCGAAAGGTGATATAGGAGAAGGGAGAAATATCATGTGATCGAGATTGGGTAGCGAAGGACAGAGATGGACTCACTTCACTATATCCTTCCCCACCACATGAACATCCACCGGCCAACCATGGGTTTTCTCGGGATAACCCAAGACTGTGAGATAATTCACCAAAGCGTCCACCCAAACGTAGATGGTTTGGGTTTCATCACCCGGTACAGGCACACCCCACCGGACTCTACTTGCTGGTCGGGAGACGGAGAGGTCTTCCAAAGTGTCAAGTTGATTCAATAAGTTCAGTCGTTGATTTTCCGGATATACGACTGGGTGTTAGTCAAACTTGAGAAGAAGAGAGGGTGATAGAGGGACAGGAACTACAAGCGGTAAGACGAACTAAAAGTCTGTGGATCAAGGAGGACAATTCGACTCACCCCCTGGTCGTTCGAGCCATTTTCTCAATTGCGGGACATATCTACTAAGACAAAACTTATAATTCTCCTCTTCCTCCCATATCACCTCATTACCAGTTTCCAAAGCAACCATCTTACCGTCTCTTTTCTCCACTTGGGAAGCGGAGAAGAATGTCTCGTCTGAGATGGAATACCAACCTGAATGGGTGGATTTGTAAATATCTCCAGATGCTACGAGTCTGGACTGGTTGTCAGATTTTGTCCGCTTCCCTTTGATAGTTTCTATGTGATAGCCAGAAGCCACAACGATCGACCGATGCTTTCTGCATAGTCGACCTACTTTGAGTTCGATAAGTCTTTGGACTGGTGGTGAAAAATGTCAAATTGGCGAGTGGTATTATGTAGAAAGCTCACCCAGAAATGCTGTACCGCAGAAATATGTCTCGGTTCTGTAGTCCGTATGAAATCATCGTTGTCGATATTCGCTTTTCTTGCTAAATCCTGTACACCGGTCAGTCCAGTCTCCCCAGAACTTACACTAGCTTTCTTCGCCCTTGAGTCACGCCGGATAAGTAAGATGTCAGAGACATCCTGTACACCGACATATAAAAGCCAACAATATCATACACGGAGTTGAGCGACAGGAGCGCGTAGGGAGAGTTGACAGGAACAAGTATAGAGGCGTAAGGAAAAGAGAGGATTTACGAAAGTAAAATAAAACTGACCCTGAACCTCATCGAAACATCATCACAAAATTCCTTCTCCCCCATAACCTTCCCCTTGGCCGCTTGTTGTATCTTGAGACCATGTTCGTCAGTGCCCGTAGTCAGAATGACCGGTCGGGAAGGATGACGAAGTTTTGCGTATCTGGCCAGAACGTCGGATAAGACTATTGAGTGAAGGTGACCTATGTGAGGGGCTGAAGATCAGCTCCTAACAACATTTTCATCCTTCCGTCCTCTGATCTTGTGGAATGAGGGAAACATGTAGTGTCATAACATTGCATATTATTCAATGGTTGGTTTGACAGTAGTCTTAACGTACCGTCGCGATTCAAGGCGATAGGGAGGACAGTAGAGCCACTCAACTCACATGCATTGACATAGAATATAGGTGTTGTAACGAAGAAAGGTTTTGTCGTACCGGTCTCATTGACAGGTGAGAAGATGGATCGAGAGGAGGAATGTCGAAAGGAAGAAGAAGAAGGATGGAGCGTCCGGGTGAAGCAGACTTGACGTAGGAAGAGTCGCATGAGGACGTCACCGTTTCTTGATCGTTAAGATACTCCATCTACGTCTCATAGAAGTAGAGAGATCTTCCCTAGCTAACCTTCAAGATCAGACACTGGAAGAAGGGCGGAAACGGACACACAAAAGGATAGAGAGGACGAAGGAGAAAAGTTGACATCACATTTTCAATTTGATTTGATTTCTTTCATCTTCACCTCTCTACTTCCACCCACCTATACCTATCTATCCTACCACTTAAACATCTCTTCGTAAAGTACAGTAAGACTTCCATTTCCACATAGAGTGATCATCACTGATATGGTGTATAGAGCTGCATAACAACTCATACGATCTTCAATTCATCCCACGAATCTTACGCATCTTCAAGGGTTGATCCTAAGGTAAAATCAAGCCTAGACGAAACATGGCTTCAACCATCCTTCCTTTAGAATTGGTAGATAGATGTATAGGTTCTCCCATACATGTGATCATGAAGAACGAGAGAGAGTTTACAGGTACTTTGATGGGGTTTGATGATTATGTTAGTGAGTTTGAACTTTTTCTTTCTTCCGTGTCCTCTCTTCTTCTCTTCTTGCCAACCTTGTTTTCCTGAGGGGAGGGGGGTTCTCCAGTCTTATCCATTTCACACCTCTAATAAAAACACTCGCCAAGGATCCTTTGCAAAAGTCACCTTTCTCCTGCTTCAAAGCCGACACTCTCATCCTGTCGTCAAGCTGGGTTCAAAAAGTAGAAATTGGTTATTGGAGATTGTCGACCTCAATGGATGTGGGGTAGGGGACGGACCACTAATAGTAGATATGGTTTTACGAGATGTAAAAGAATAGTCAGTCTTTCAAACGTTTCTTCTTCACACCACAATCGAACCACAACGTCATATATCTTTCTCGTACCTACACACAACATGACAACATAATCCCTCGAGGGCTTTCGATAGTTATGACCACTCGAGAGATAAGGAAGAAGACATAAAAGTGACATCTTGAAGACGGACATGTAAATTCTGAAAGTATACAGTGGGAAAGGAGAGAACACTGACTTTGATAGTCAAGTAACACCTGGTGGAATCATAGAAACTCCTCTTGGTCAAACATTATTAAATGGGAATAATATCGTCATGGTGAGTTTCTCTACCTCCTTTTTCTTTATCATTTTATAAATATCATCATAATCGTCAATTTCCGACTTGACTCCCCCTCCTCCCCTTATGGGTTTCTTGATTGTTGTCAGAAAGACAGAGAAAGAAGTCTGTCTTCCGTTCATCACGTATTGGAGGAAAGATGAAAAGATCCAGAGTTTAGGGATCTATGGATAGGGTGAAAAGCTGATGGGAAGCTCATTCCTGGTGGAAGAGGACCTAAAGCTATATGACAGAAGATCATACATGGATATGGAAGATGCATGAGCTGTACATCTGTATATATATCATTCTCCTGAGTTGATCATTCGTAGGGCAAATAACACAAACAGATGATAAAATTCATACAACGTATTATCCATTCACTCATTCAGACCCAATCACTTCATCCAATTCTGACGTCACATGTCCTTCAATACACAACTCAACTGATCTCAATCTGAAATGTGCGCACCGTCATTACTTAACAACCCATAAATATAAAGTACATATGTCCAAATGGTTCAAAGTATCCAAATACCGATATAAACAAGAAGAAAAAAAATCAATCAAATTTCACCCCTTTACCCTATTAACCATATCTCTCAACTCCCCAACTCCATCTACTTTCTTACCCCAACTTCTCCTCTCCTCTTTCCTAGCTTTGATAGAAGCCTTTACCTCTTCCCTCTCTTCTCTCCAACTTCCTTCATCTCCACTGGATCGATGTTCCATAGGTCCTTCTCCCGGATCATAATGTATCCATTCCAACTTAACCCCAGCTCTAGCACATACATCTCGAATAGGAGCATGATCTTTTGTATATTTCATCCTATGAGCGAAAGAAACATGAAGAGGACCGTCGAAAATGAATTCTCCTCCTATTTGGGAGAAAGAACCAGGAGAGGAGATTGACATTTTAGTCGCTCTTTTTAAAGTTTGAGCGGTTGATTGTAAAGGTGTTTGAACTAGGTAATCTCCAGAAGAAGATGAAGGTCCGGTGGAAGTGGTTTGACGTGTTAGACCGAGAATTCGGTAGAGGGTCAAAGAAGGGTCGGTGTAAATTGGGAATGGACATCGGAATGATTCTGAATGTCAGATACATGAAATGTATTGGGGAAGATAGGAGAAAGACTTACTTTTGTAACCTGCTAACATTTTGTAACTACCATTCCCGATGATCACCAAATCCACTTTGGCTTTTTCAAGAGCTTGGGGAGATACCTGAGAAATGATCGAGTTGAGGTATTGCGCACAGAGAGGGCAGTACCCTATGATGTAAGCAAGCTCAATTTCTCACTGTCTACGCCCACCACAGTACCACGGATTCTTAGGGAGGGACCAGAGTGGACACATGGAGATCTGCTACCTCACTTAACATTTGAAAGAGGACGTCATGTCGGAGTCCCCTCAAAAACAGGCAGGTCAGAGAGAACGAATAACAATGGCGAACCAAGTATGGAGAGGTTGGTAGAGATAGCGGACCAACATAACAACTCACAATGTCTGATGAAAACCACTATCGTTCTCTTACCCCTGACCAGATCCCCAAACCTCACTCTCTCTCCATTCTCATCGATAACATCCATCAAACTAGCTTCGAACAAATCCTTCATACTCGGAGGTTTATCCGTACTGAATAATTTCTTTTCTTCTTTCTTTCTCTCTCTACGTTGTCTCCAACTCTCTTTACCCGTATTTCTCTTCTCTCCGTCAATCTCCAAAGCTTGTAAATCTGTCCAGTCATATCTCTTCCCTTCATGATGATGATCTTCAGGAGTGATCCATTTTATAGAAGATGAAGTTGGTGTTCTTCCATACGATGGTCTTATAGTATGATCAGACCGATCTACACTTGGTCCTTCTGTTTGTATAGAGTGGTTTGACGGAGCTGATCCAGAAGTTTGGGATTGAATAGAAGACCAAGTATCACATGTCGATGCTGATCCTGAAGAACATATAGGGGAAGGGAAAGATGTACGATCGAAATCTTCAAGTAAACCTGTTGTACCGTGGTCGGTCTCATTGGTATCGGGCTGATGGAAGAGACGATCAGGTGAAATCATAGGTCTTTCTGAGAGTTTATGAATATCTCGTCTTTCTGATATTTTTGATGATATCCATAAACTCTCAGCGGGTGGACGTGTAGGTTGATTAACTGTTGTTCGACGAGAAGTAGACCAAATATGTTTGTATCCTGAAGGAGCTAACATTCTAGCGGTACGAGGTGTCAAGGGAGGTTCAGTTGATGGTGATGGACTAACACTTCTTGTACTTGTTTCAGTACCACTGGAAAGGGATGGTACATCCGAATCTGATTCAAGTGGTGAAGAAATATGAGGCATTGTGATTTGTGTAGAGCGACGTTTTGAAATGGAAGAGAAGAATGATTTGGTTCTAGAACGAGACTTGATTGAATTGTTTTGAAATACAGAAGAAGGTGTTAAACGGGAAGGTAAAGAAGAACGAGTATGTTTTGAGAAATGACCAGAGTAAATATGTTCACCGAATTCTGGAGAAGGTGGTAAAACTTGTAATTGAAATATATTTGATGATTGATTTCCGTCTGGTAACTTTGTGTTGAGAAGTGGAACAGTTGGGAATCTACCAGGTAAAGAAGGACGACTAAAGTCTATTTGAGCGGTTGGGCTCAATGGGATTTGTGAACAACAAGAGGTAGAGAAAGAGGAAGAGGAAGAAGGAATACCACAAGGTGATGATTTAGATCGAGTTGGATCACAGGATGATAACGGTGAGATCACAATAGGACTGTAAGATTGATGGTAAGGTTTAGTGGAGTTTGCAGAGAATGACTTCGGTCGAGTTGGAGTAAAGGGAAAAGACCAAGGTTTTGATATAGGTGAAGAAGAAAGAGAATGATAATGAGCAGGTGAAGGAAGAGGTGTAGGTGTAGGTGTTGATAAGAGTGAAAGTAATTCAAGAGATTCTGTAAGTGCTGGAGGAAGTTTTCTTGTTATTCTAGTTTTTATAATATTCGAATCAGGTGTAAATGTGAATGTAGGTGGGGTGGGAGAGTGGGTATGTATGAATTTGGAATCATGTGAAATCGAATTCACAAATGTAGAAGTCGTATCCACAGGTAGTTTTGTTGATGTGAGAAAGTGGGTATCGACTGAAACTTGATTGATCTTTGGATGATCAGGAGTATCCGGACGGTGGTCAGGAATATCCAAAAACGAATCTTGGTCTTTGTCTTTACTAGAGGTTGGTTCGGTGGGGAATATAGTTTTAGGTGAAACTTGTCCTTCCGAGATGTCCGATCTTTCCGATTTATTCAACGTCTTGAAGGTTTCCGAGATGTTTGAATACTCGTAATTCGAGGGAAATGCAGTTCGGAAATGGGCATGGGGTAAAGTTGAGACATTCGAAAAACAAAGTTGATGATCGTGTGAAACCCGATGTGAATGGGGTTGTGGATGAGGTGGTAGAGGATGATGTTGAAGGTATGACGTTATTTTATTATTCGGTTCTTGTTTTGTTGAGTCATAAGTGGGGTTACCCATATCGACATTATCATCTCGATCTTTTACTGGGATATATTCACATGGGGAAATCGTCATGTTGAGTAACGTACCGTGTACCGTCAAGCGTTTAATAAACCCTCTGTGTACTCTGTGTGGTATGTAAAGTGAAATACCGTGATGGGGTCGTGAAGACTACACGTTCGTTTTGTGGGAAAAAGGAAATTCCGTCAAGAAATCAGGTTAGTTATATGTAAGAGGTAAGAGATGGTTGAAGTAGATCAAGAGAGAGGGAGGGGAGAAGAAGATATGAATAGAAAATCAATCATCATCTTACATATCATCTTTCAGTGTGCGTGAAATACAAGAGAAGAGACTAAGTACTTAGATGAAACTAATGATCACACATTTCACACTGAGCCATTCAATCCTTAGGATAAGTCTCACCTTTAGTCCTCTTTCTTGATACATGGTCGTTTTCGTTTGAGCATCAAAAGCTAGGATTTAATACAGCTGCACTCACACACGTATCGGATTGGGAAATATAGCTACAGTAGTACTGGTGATAAGTGATGCGACCAAGTGAGAAAGAGTGAAAAGAGTCTAGATTGACGTAAGTTTGGTGTTTGTCGTTTGTGGCATTGTTCGAAAGTGGCAAAACTTACTATCGACTCGCCTAGAGACTAGTTTGGTACTCACTCTACTACTCGTACTGTACTAGCATTGGTCAAGTCGATAGCATACAAACTATCCATGCATACCATCATGTTGGTACTGACAGTTATGTATACCCACGATAAATGGTCTCGCTCACATACTCTGGTGCGAAGCGGAGACAAGTGTCATACTTCGTCAAGGGAGTCAGTTTCGGTGGATAGCTCACTCCCCAAACACCCATTCGACCTCATCAACAGCTTTATAATCTCTATCCTCTTCATCCTTCGTTCCTCTATTCAAAGGCATAGGACCTGGTTCTCTATCATCGTCTTCATCAAAAGGAGAATTATCCAATGGACCTCCTACGTGAACGGTCCGAAGTGGTGAATTATGGTTGGCTCCTGATGAACGACGTCTTTCTTGTGGTGAACGTGGTAAAAGTGCAAGAGCTGCTGGTGACATATGCTTAGGGTCAGCACTTGTATATACCCATGACAACTTTCCATATTGAAAACCCAATTTCTGATCAATTCGAGTGATCCAAAGTAAACTTTAGTATGTTGGTTCGTACATTTGTGTTGAAGATGTTCTTAGCTGTGAAGGGAAGTATGATCATGTCCTAGAAGATATGAAGGAATGAGATGGAGGGAGGAGAGGGCAGGGAAGGGATGAGAAAGATCAAAACCCACCTCCCATGTATTCTTATTCTCAACTTCTTCTCGCCTCACAAACAAACCTCCTTCTATCCCTCCAACTCCCATCCTCGCTCCTTCACCCAATTCTCCAACCGAAACAACACTTTCAGAATCACTAATCTCATCTTCTCTTCCACCTTTAGCACGCATAATTTCACCTAATTTATCCCAAACCATCCCACCACCTAAACCTCTATCAGCCACCCAATCTTCTTCCCATTCACCTCCAAATACTTCCCCGAGAACATCTTCATATTCATGCAACCAAAAATCGATCATACCATCTGGATCATATAACAATCCTAGATCATATCCAATCTTTCTAGGTGGGAAAACATCATCATTTGATGAATGTGATAATGCTCGAGGTTTATGAGGTTGTAATGCTGGATCTTCCAACATGACGGCTGATGTGGAATCTGATCGTCTATGTGCTGGATCAGGAGAAGGAAGAGGTATGGAAGATATTAAATAATGTCTTTTGTTATAAAATGCTACTAATGATCGAAGAGCTGATTCTTGTGGTAAAGCACCTTCGAGTTCACTTTCGTGATCTTGTCCTGATAGCCAATCGTCACGGAGATCAGGACGACAGTTTAGGTAGATGGAAGTGATGACTTTCATGTTGTCTGAGATTAGCTCGAGACGAGGTTTTCCTTTCTCTACACCTTTCAAGGAGAAGGTGCACCCCTACACCTGTCAAAGAAACGATGCGCTCAAGACAAGGAGAGAAATCGAATGCAATCTGTGGGCAGTCATGAAGGACCAAGCAGTATCAGACAAGGATAAATGGTATAATGCGAGAACTCACTTTGTCGCCATTTACGACCACACCATGGCATTTGACTTTTGATCAGTTTGAGTGTTTGAAGTTGCATCATAGGTTGTTGTATTCGTAACATCCTTTTCAGTATTCCCTATCTGTCAGCTCCTGACCAGGCTTACTCAGCAAAGCACCCAGACGATCACAGAGGCTTCCTGCACATCCCTCCTCTTACCATCCACGGTCACAACACCAAAACCCGACCAGCGCCGCGCATCACAAGGCTCCAAAATGCAAGAGTGAAAAGTCCCACGCTGCATCTGCACACGAATCGGATACAATGATTGCAGGATGTGTATCCAAAGAAGGAAGTAACAAAAACACCCACAGAAACTTTATACTGATTCAACATAAAAGTCCTATGAGATCGATGTTTCGTCATCTTCTGCAAAACTTTCAGAAAATTGATAGCGGCGAAGAAATTCCTCCAAGAATATTCCGTGATCAATTCCACTTCTTGTTCTGGAATACCAGATCTGGGTGCGGTCGTACTGGCGGAAGTGATCGACGGGGTTTGGTCAATTGGCGGTTGAGAGGATGAAGATGAATAGGAGCGGAGCATTGCGTCTTCCGGTGAAGCATGATAACGATTATGTAGGAATTGGAAAAAACTACTCGTGAGACTTTTGCTCCAGCCTTGTCCGGTGAGTGAAAGTAAAAAAAAATAAAGGGGGATTCTCTCATGGTGCCTCGTTGGTCCTGGGCGGTTCATAATACATGAGTTGTGATGAGCAAACACAACACACACCTCCGTACAACGCGAGATCATTCTCATGAC